CTTCAGCGACGAGGGCGCCCCGGATGACTTCGATCCGGATAACCCGTACAAGGACCCGGTGGCCATGCTGGAGATGAGAGAGCATTTGGTGAGGGAGAAGTGGATCGACATCGAGAAGGCCAAGATTCTCAGAGAGAAAGTGAAGTGGTGTTACCGTGTAGAGGGAGTCAATCACCTCCAGAAGTGCCGCCACCTCGTCCAACAGTACCTCGACGCCACTCGCGGCGTCGGCTGGGGCAAGGACCACCGCCCTCATTCCCTCCACGGTGCCTTCCTTTTTCCCCTTGTTGATGTGGGCTTTTTTGGATGAATTGATTTTGTGTGATAAATAATTGGTTTGGGTTGTGACTTGTAGGTCCAAAGGTGGAGGCTGAGGATGAGGCCGAATGAGTGACTGATTGACTGAGCTTTGAATCCGAAATAATTTGAGGTATTTCCACTGAATGTTTGTTGATCTGTTATTATTATTATTGTCAGTATTGCATTTTTCAATGATTTGTGTTATCTTGAATATATATTTGATTAGAATAATGGATTATGATTCTTTGTTTTTATTTTATTCAACAATTCAGGAAAACGGAATTCATGTATAATGGAAAATGTGCCCATTTTTGTCAGATATAAAAGCGCTGATTTATTAGCTTGGTTTTCCAGAAAGTTGGGACGAAATTGAGATGTCTTTTTCATTAATGAATTGAACCGCTGTATAGTCTCAGATGTGAAATCTGTATTTTTTTTCATCTCGTTATATTCTGCAGCTCTTAATTTGATTTGTGAATCTTGAATAGCTAGGCAATGGTATTCTTTGCCAAATATGAAATAACACCACCAACCCCTCCTCCCTTCCCAAACATAAGCCTTTTTCATTGAGAGGTGTCATGTCGGAAGGTGACCAGTAAGCTCAGCAAGAGCTAGCGAAACAAGCTGGCATGCGAAACCTCTTCCTTACTTTTAAGGTTAATTGCTTGGTTTTTTACATGTTCAGTGTCAGATCATAGGATTTGATCATATTACTCCCAAACAATACTACCTACATTGTGACAATTCATAAGGCTAATTTTATGTTGTCTTGATGCTTTGCTTTGGCCAACTACTATCGTCAGCTACTTCTAGCTTCTATGGTTGCCCTTCCTTTTTGCTGTAGTTTTACTGTTTTAGTTTGTATGTTTTTTTAATGAACATATTAAACAAAGGTGATTTTATGTGGCTGTAGAGGTAGGTTTTTGCCACCGCCGGATGGGAAGAGAATTTTCATAACCTTGGTCCGTGCATTGATTGTGATTGAATATTTGTCCCTCCCTTTCTACAAATATTCTTTCTCCCCACTTTCCAGTTCAATGGCTCTTGATTTCTGCCAATGGAAATGCTAAGCAACTTTACATTTAGCGTAACACTGAAAGAGAGAACCTAAATAAGGGCAATTTCTTTGTCCGGCATGTGCTTTGTATTTTATTCTTCTGAAGTTTATTATAAGCTGATGCTATATGGTTTGTTTACTGACATTGATGATGAATCGATCATGGTTTGCCAAAAGGTCGAGTGATTCTTGATGCATATTATGCACTACAACTAGCTGCCCCTTTCTTGTTATTAGTAAAAATTATAACAAGTTGAGGGAAGGGCATAAAAGTGAGCCCACCCCCAAGCAAACATTTGCAAAACTGAGTTTTTTTAATGCAGATTCAGTCTTTAACTCTGTATGTCAAATAAGTTAGTGTGCACGCAAATGTCCTGCTGTAAAAGAGAGTACGCAATGTGGGGCCTTGAGTTAATGTTATGATGAGTTCTACAACCTATCTTTGATTGTAAAGATTGTTGTGGTGCGCAATCGTAGTTTTATGTGTTTAAAGGCATCAGTCCTTGGACATACAATAATCGCTCCATAAGTTCAAACTATGTACACAAGCTTGAATCAGTTCAACACATCAAATTGACCTTTTTTGCCCAATGACGAACATTCTTTTTGATAGTCGTAATATGACATGTCAAGTGATCGGTAATTTCCACCACAAATATGGTAATTCGAATCTTTTATGAGAAGTAGGACATGATTGCCAACTAAGTTGTCTTCCGTTCAACCTGTTACTGGTTTCAATCATTAAGGTGAATCACCTGGAATCAAACTCAATCGAATCTTATGGCTCCTTCTGAATTATATTTATTTCTCATTAGATTTGACCAATTTGTATATTTAATTCAGTTAACCACACACGTTTTCTTTTTCCTTTTTACCAAACTTATATTTAACAACTTTAAATCATTCTAATGAACTCAAAATGTGCTTTTTAAGGGCCATCAGACTCAGAACTGTGAAAACCCAAAATTGCTAATGCTTGATTCCGTTTTCAAGGGGTTTCTCCTTCTTGGACAATTCTTTGGTTTCGATAAACAGTTCTCTTTTGTTTCTTTGGGAGTGGCCAAAAAACAGAGCACACAAAATCTTTTGATGCTTTTTTCAATTGCTTTTCTTTTCCTTGGTATTAAATTCTTGCTTCGAATCCCGTTGGACATTCATACTGTTTATATCTTCCCTTTTAAAAATGCAAATAAGGAAAAACTCTTTAATTCTATGAATTCGCTCGTTCTGCTCATCTATTCCTTATCATATTTTTGGCAGGTGATTGAATTCAGGAAGCCGGCAAATCTAACAGTTTAGTGAGCTCTTTTGCTTCAGTTGGACTGCTATTATCAAGATTATGTCTTTATTTTCATTCAGACGTGTAGAGTCCAACAGTGGGCTGATTTGGTGTTCATACTTGTTTCCTTCTTTACGATTGAAACTGCTAGTGACCTCAAACATGTAATGCACATATCAAAATGATGCAATTAGTTGCTTTATATTTCCGAGATTTGTACTGTGTCAACATTTATCATCAAAATTTGAAAGGCAAAATTACTGATGAAAGTTCTCTTGACTATAATATACCATGTCCTTCAGTCAATTATTACATCATTGGATATCAACAAGCATAAACAAATCCAAATTCCTAAGCTAGGAACTTGGCTGTGCAGCGTGTGATTCATGACACTTTATTCATTTGGTAAGAAATAGAAGACCCTGCAGAGGTTGTTCGCTTGACGAATCGACCTTTCATTCGAGGCCTCTTCTCTGCATTCAATTTCCTAACTTCATATCGAATTTTCTTTGAGAACAATCTCATTCGTCTCTTTTCCCGGTACCTTGATACTTTTGCTCTTTTTACCGCGTCACTGCTCCACAACCGTCCACTAAGCCCGTCGTATAGATTAGGACCCCCTTCCTGGAAGGTATCCTAAACATTTATATTGATCAAACCATCAATTTAGTTAAATCAAAATATGTCCAATTTTTTGCATAATCTAATTGCATTCAATCTCAAGAAGGCATGAAGATGGTTCATTTATTAATCCCATGAACTGCACACTGCTTTAGGCATTGGTATTAATTTTCTAGTTTCAGCATGTTTGATGCAGATGATGAATTAGATAGCAGGCAATATTCTACATGCAAAGCATACAATTTAAGCTTTTAGACAAAGTGATTCAACAAAGAAAAAAAACTTACCAACAAGTCATTAACTTCGAACTGATCAGGTCGAATACCATTCGTCCACGGAGAACCTTGACTAGCCCAAGCAGCGATAACTGCTTCATAGTTGATCCTTAAAAACATCCTCTTAATAACTTCTGCTTCGTTTTGACAATCAATCGTCGTCGTCATCTCATTAATGTTAACGGTTCCGATAACCTTATTCTCCTCACCTTCTTCTCCAGTCAATACTGGAGATTCATAATCAGAATTCCAGTTGAATGTTTCTCTAGCCATATCTAATGCTGGATCTAAATGACACGCTATAACGGCTTTCATTTCATTGTCATCTTCATCGTCCTCAACTTTGACCCGTTTTTCGATTATATCTTCTTCTTTGCTATCCATTCTTCCCAACCCTAATTCAATCTCATGAGAATCCTCAAGTCCTGTTCCTAGTAAACTCTCTACATCGGCCGCGAACTCCGCAAGCTCAGCATCAGAAGTAACAAACTCTTGAAAATCAAAATCACATCCTTTTTCATCATTCTCCGTTGGATTTGATGCTGTAAAAATGTCAGCATCAAGATGGCCGTCAAAAACAGGAACCCTATAAAGAAGATGGTCCTCATTTTCCACTAGAGAAGTCTCTTCACTGTTAATCTCCGGGACTAGAAGAGATGGTTGCAGTAGATTGGACTTCGCCTGTCGTGGAGTTCTAGCCTTTCGAGTGAATCCACGGTACCAAGCCGGTCCCGAATCTTCATTTCCTTTCGCCTTAAAAGATGAGGATTCAAGTCGAACCCTTCTGTGTCGACTAGCCAACTGGTTAGCCGAATGCACAGATGCATCACACGATTGGCATAGAAAAGCATCGTCAGCCGAACAATACCATCGAGCCCTCTTTTGTAAACAGCTATCGCAAGCCTTGGCCGTCTTGCCTCCGAGGATACTTGCAGTTTTTCTTTCGGTATTCATCGTGTAAAGCTACGATTTTATCGAAGGATCAAAAGTGTTACTTTTGGAACATTAAGGTTTGGTAATTCAGTTGAAACAGTACCCGAGTGAAGTGTGTAGCAGGGAACATTGACGTTCTTGGTGTATTTATTTAGACACGAAGAACAAATGGGTCCAATGCAGTATTGGTCATTTTCGCAAAATTTCTTGTTGGTCACTAAACTTTTCTTTATTTTAAATTGGTCGATAAAGTTCCACTTTACTACAATTTGGTCATTTCAGGAGCACTCACTAGTCTTATTATTTGTCATTCACGCTACGCTATATTTGGTTTTCCTAAATAAAAAAATCTTAGTAGATTAAATAGAAGTTAATGAAATGTGTGGTTAAAATTAATTATTAATTTTAATTTCGATATTTATGAAGTTTTTGAGTAAAACCAAATAAAAACTAAGTGAATGATGGGCTTCGGACATTGCCAATTCAATGACAAGTTTTGGGGGCGTTGCAAATTCGCTAAGGGTTTTGTGATGGCNCAAATATAAACTAAATCAATGATGGATTTCGGACATTGCCAATTCAATGACAAGTTTTGAGGGCGTTGCAAATTCGCTAAGGGTTTTGTGATGGCTAGCTATTGCAGTCACATACTTGTGAAAAATCACCGAGCATTATGTCAACAGCCACGTTTACTCGTCGTTGATCATTGAAATTTGTGAAAAATAAATGTATAGATGGATAATTATTATATATTTATTTAAGATTTATTATTTTTTGTCTACCAATTAGATTATTAGTTTTTCTATTAGTCAAACTAAGAGACATGAATAGGATAATCAAATCATACCAAACATTTAAGTTTAGAAATTCAATTGTAACAAAACTAAGTTTAGGAAATGACTTGGAATAAAATAAAATTTTGAGGGGCCAATAACTTTTTCAATTGGTACAACAACTATAGGAGGGAGGGTTGTAGAGTTAGAAAAGTTTTAACATTTTTATTTCTTTTCTTTTCTGAATTTTGATTGGTTGAAGCTCATAGGTTTATCCTAAAATCTGCATTCTTATTGGCTGTCTGTCTTAATTTTGGGATTTCTTATGGGGTAGGGTAGGGTAGGGGTGTTTTTCCTTTGTGGTTCTATAAGAAATTTGAATATAATATTTCTGGTCCACTCTTTTTTGTTTTTAACCATTCTCCTCCACTTGATGTACCTGTGGATGTAATTGGTACAAAATTGGCCTCAAAATTCAATCACAGAGAATTTACAATAATGGCTAATTTTAATTACATATATATACTGGAAATAGAAAATTTGAAGTAAAAAAATTGAGGGAATGATGAAATTAACCAATTAAGTAGTGTTAGATTGTAAGAAAATTAGTAGACAAAGGTCTCTTTCTTTAACAAAATTAATCAACAATTTTTTGAGTTTCGAGCAGGGGCGGATAGAGACCCTTTGCAATTTCTTAGTCTAAATTAATTCATATTTACATATGCATGACTTAATCTTGGAGACATGGGCATGCCAAAGCACCGACGCCATGAACTCCGAAACAACAATGCATGCATGACAAGACACCTTATTGCAACAACGTAAATCGTGTCGTGCGTATTTTATACTTAGAGGTTGTTTGTTTCTGATTCTCAAAATCAATTCTCATTTTCAACCACACATTTTTCAATAAAATAATATTTTCCATCACATCAATAATTTTTTCATCTTTTTCAACCACACATTTCTCATCATATCACTATTCAAAATCAATTCTTCCTCGAAAAATCCCTACCAAACAAGCACTTATTGGTCTCAATGTGTGTAGCAAAGTACTACATAAAATTGTTACCGTCGCACTACAAACTCCTGCAATATAGTCGGCCCCTTAATAATTTATCATTATAATGTGAATCATATTATGTAATATCGTCAACCCTTTTAATAATTAATTTGTTTATATACTTTTCTTGAACAAAAATGCTACTTATACATACTTGGTACACAATCTCCTACACAACCCTCTCACATGTGTGGGGGGTCCACAATGGACCCCACATTGTGGGATCCATACATGTGAGAGGGTTGTGTAGGATATTGTGTATTAAGGTGTGTAAGTGTAGCAAAATTCTTTTTTGAAAGTCGGTCTATATCCAAAAACAAGTTTTTAAGTTCATACTCAAACATAGATGGGAAATTTGTCGATGTCACTTGACTATTGACTAATAACCAATTAACTACATTTATAATTTGCCATTCATTTCTATCTATTTAAAATTTAAATAATTTAGAACACTTCCCAAATGTACTTTAATTCTACACTATAAAAGAATAAAGTTTACATAGATTTCTGCATTAGCTAACAACCATTTTCTTGTGAAAACCTTCATTTTGTTAAGATGAGTAACGGTCCTTGAAGAAAGTCATCAAGAGCACTTGAACCCGTAATTTCATTTTTTTTTGGGTAAAACTAACTGTCTTGGATGGTGAATACTGTTGGGGGATATATCGATAACGTGCATGAATTATATTCTCAAACGTATATTTTACTTGCGCAAGATCGAACATACTTTCGACTTACCAAAATAGAATTTGAAAAAATGAAATGATAATTACTGAAGCCGAATACGTGACGTAAA